CCCCTGCCCCCAGGCCCCGCTGGGGTTAACCCTTTTCCACGCCAGCTCCTGGGATTTCTGACAGGATTAATGTCAGGAAGAGATGAAGTCAGGCTAGGGCGCCCCCCCCTTCCCTGCCCTTCTCTGCAGGCTGGGGTGAGCGGCAGACTGAGCTGCCTCTAACTGAGCCTCTCCCCACACTCTCCTGAGGGCTGAGCCGGGCCCTTCTCAGCTCAGGCTAGCTCTGTCCCCCACTAGCCACTGGATCGGTCCCTAGCGCTTGTGCCGGCTTCAGACGGTGTTGGGCTCCCTGCAGTGCATCTGCGCCCGACACCAGAGGAGGAGATGGCTTCGTGCCAAAGCAAATAAGTTGTCTGTTTGGTTTGGAAATAGGATTCGGAGGCTCTAGCTGCCTTTGTGAGCGCTGCAGAGGTATGTGCCGACTGCACGTTACACTCCATCGTCTGGAGTGGCTGGGTTTCCTTCTCCCTCTAGCAGCGGGCAGGGCGAGTGGGGCGGCTGCCCCGTGCCCCGCGCATGCGCTGCTACCTGTCAGCTGTGGCCGTGGTGCATGCGCGAAATTGTGCTGCCCCGGGCCCTGTGCCCCATGCTTCAATAGGCCCCACGCCCTGGGCCCCGCAAAACTCTCCTCTACCCCTGCCCTCTAGTCCCTTCTCCTGGGCTCCCCAGTAATAACAAAAGGTCAGGACAACAGTAGAGCGCTCATTGGTCTGTGCAGGTGTCGGTTCACAAGGGCTGTAGCCTGTATACCCGCCTCGGGCCCATGGGACGGATTGGGCCCCTGCCTGCCCTGCCCCCCCACACTGCTCAGAGCGGCTGGCGGCGGGGGCCACGTGCCTCGCTGAGCGCCACGAGTGGGGGGAGGAGTCGCATGTGCCCTGCCCCCGGCACAGTCGCGCAGCTCCCATTGGCCGGAAGCTGACCACGGAGCTGCCTGTTTGCAGGGCAGGCAGCATGCAAAGTGCCCACGACCCAGCAGCTCAGAGCAGTGTGGGGGGTGGGGCAGGTACAGGCCTGCCTGAAGAGCCTGCTGGGAGCTGCCTAGGTAAGGGCCGCCTGGCCAGAGCCTGCAGCTGGTACCCCAGCCCCTGCCTCCCCAAGTCTCTGCCCCTCCTACACCTCTACTCCACGTAGCCCAAACCCTCCTCACCATTCCCGCTCCTAGACTGGGCACGCAGGTCACTAGCCCATCCTGCCCTGGGCCACAACTCAACCCCCATCCCCTCCTGCACTCCTGCCCCAGGTCACAACCCCTCCTGCACCCCAGCCCCCTACCCTGAGCTCCCTTCTGCACCCAGCCTCCATCCCAGACCCTGCACCACCTCCATTAATATCATGGAAGAATGGGGCCCTCGACCACTATCCATACTCTTGGAGTGCTCCCCCCATCAAAAATGATTGCGCACTCCTTTCTTAGAGGTCCATACAACCAGGAAAAAGTGAACAGAGATGTGATATTTACTCTTTTCCACAGACAAAACCCAAGGATCTCCAATGAAAGTAAGAAGTAGCAAGTTTAACACAAACAAGAGGAAATATTTTTCACACAACACACAATTCATCTGTGGAACTCACTGCTGTGGAATGTTATAATTGCCAAAAGTGGGCTCCGTTAAAAAAGAATTGGATACGTTCATGGTTGGTAGGCGCATCAGTGGCTTTTAGCCAGGGTGGCCTGGGATGCAGCCCCTTCTGGGGTGACGCTGAACGAAGGAAGGAATACACATACAATTGGCTGTTACCCCTCGAGAGAGAGATCTTGGAGTCCTCCTGGGGAGGTCTCTGCAAACATCTGCTGAACGTGCGGAGGCAATCAAAGCTATCAGAGTGGTGGGACTCTGTAGGACAGGGATAGGTGATAAGAAAATATCATACTGGCTTTATAGAAATCCATGGATCACCACGGCCAATGCTGAGTGGCTGTGTCAGGCAGGTTGCTCCAGAGGCAGGGGCGAGATGGAGACTGGCCGGGGGTCACTGAGGCAAGGAGGGTCATGGGGAACTGGGTGATCCTGGGAGTGCAGAGACTGATAGGCCTGGAGAGGGCAGTGCCGGGGCCGTGTCCTGAAGAGGGCCCTGCGAGCCAAGAGACTGACGTGAAGATGGGGGAGGTGTCCAGGGAGCCGACTCCTTCCTGCTTCTCATTTGGGAGCTGGTCTGTGTGACTTGCCACAGGTGTTAACTCCAGAGGGGGAATTCTGAGTCCACTGTTCCGTGGCCACCTAGACTATCCAGCCTCCTGCACTGGTGAGAAGTGCTGAAAAGTGTCTCCGGTCGGTGCTGGGAGGGCCGAGGGGGTTGTATATTTTCCAAGAAGTAACCGAAGGGAGGTACTTTCTCTCTCTCTGGTATTCTGTAACTCCATGGTTACGTTGCGTAGAACAGACAGATCTGACAAATCTCCCCGTGCAAATACTTCCAGCTGTTTAAACTTAGATAGTCTCAGAGAAATACTGAACCTAATAGTGTTCAGAATATACAAAACGCAGCCTTTTAGAGTCGCCAAGCTAATTATCCCGCCTTCCCTGTCTTCCCACCAATGTTACCCGGGTTCTTCTAGCAGCCTGGGCCCTCCTGCCTGTTGCAGACTGGTCTTCGTTCCCTTCCGAGCTGCCACACGGCCCGCTCTCTCCTGTTTCATGATTGTGGATTGTCTTGCTAGTGCTATCGCCTGGACTGGTGCGAATTGGTCGCTCCTGGAAGCTCCTTAGATAGCTCTGACTTCTCTCCCCTCCCTGTGGTGTGCGCAGGCTCCCTTTCCATTGCTTGTCGTTGGGGTTGCACCGTGTTTCGAGTGCTGTGGCATTCAGCCAGTATTCCTCCTCCTGCCGTGGTGGCCGTGCTAGGGTCTGAAAGTGCCTTTGCTTCCCAGCTTCACCTGCAGCTTTTTCTTAGCTTGCTTTCCGGTTTGTGTTGGGAGGGTGCTGCTGCCGCTTTCACACGCTGACAGGCGCGGATTTCCACTGGGGGGTGCACACAGCAGCCCTCGGAGGGAGGAACGCCGTCAGCACACACCAACCTCCTTGGGAACGGATCAGGCCGCCGCGGGCCCAAGGAATGCGCGTGTATCCCCGTGCTGCATTCCGCACAAAGGACTAAGCAGCAGCATGTGTCTTCTGCATAACGAGGCTCTGTGGCCATGCTAAGGCCACGGTTGGTTGTGAACTTTTGAAGGCACAACCCAAAGTTTGGTTCAGCGTTGCGAATGTTTTGGTTCCAACAGCCTCTGGTCCCGAGAAGCTCTGAATCCTGAGCATCTCCTGACCTTGCTGGGAAATGCGCTTGCTGCCTCCGTGCTGATGAGTCTTCCCTGCCGGCCTCTAAATCTGTCCTCAGCTCCCACCTATCTTGGAGCTAGTATTCCCCTGCGTGGCAGCATCGTGACCTTTTCCAGCGGGGGCCGTTGTCTTCGCTGCAGAGCAGAGATTCTTCCTCCAGAAGAGAACAGGCTGATTAATGGCTCCTGTCTTTCCC